ATCTCCGCCATTTTTCAACATTTCATTTGATATTTTATCGTTTCCTGGGCTTTTATTATTTTTAGTTTGGGATATGACATTTGAAACTTCATTACATGTAAAGTTTAAATCGTTCAACATGTGCCTATTTTCATTGATTGGGATTTCAGTTTGGCTTATTAATTGAATATCGTCATTTTTTGTTTCACTATTTCTATTCGTGGCGAGTGAGCTAAAATGTGTCTTTAGTGCATTCGTTATCGTTAAATCACTTCAAGATGTCTACCAATTCGTGGAAAAGGCCTGAGGTATATACTGTAATACTTTCTACTGCCCCGCTTCTTAACCAATCAGATGCCTAGAATCTATGTATGAGGTATGTTCATATGCTCCAGCCGAATATAGTACAATTGTTTATTAGTGAGATCAGTGGTGAGATTAATCTGCTGAATAAACATTGTACATTGGGTAACACACATCTCTACGACTTTATATACGACTTTCCTTGTATCTCGACCTCCTATGATATTCAAATTTTAAGTAGCTAAGTACCATTTACCTCAGCCTTAACAATGGGTTAAGGTGGTATAGACCACCGTTCCGTAACCTGTGGGGTCGCATAATCTCTTCAGATTCTGGAAAATTTACTTAATACGATCAACGACAAACGAAATTAAAACTATACAGTATAAACAGGTGCAAAGTGTAGCGTCAGTTTGCTTTTGTAATGCTTTCGTTATCAACAGTTGCATGTTCAATAATATGCTATCAAAACATTTGTACTTTTGAAGTTAATTTTGTTTATTTTACAACGTGTCTGACTATTAGGTGAAAATTTTAACAATGTTCTCGTCAATAAAAGGTGTCTAGGCCTATTTCTTCCATTTTGAACCTATATTTCTGGCAGCAAACTTAACATTTTCAGTAGTGAAACGTCTGTAAATCATTGATTTTTTTTCGATCTGTAACTTATTGAAAGATTGTGTGGTTCTATGAGTAAATTCATATTTATATTCATTTCATTTTATGGTATTTACATTTACTTTGTGGTGGGTGATATGAAAAGGCTTTTATGAATAAGGTAGTAGCTTTTAATTGGCTGAAAAAAATCTAGTTGGCATAGTTCTTGATCTCTGTTATCCCTTGCACGTATAAAATGATGGGCGTGATTTCAGCAACAGGCCCCAGTCTCAGAAAGCCACAGGGTCCCCGGGAAAGAAGCCTCATCATTCGTCGGGGAATTGCTTTTTTTTCAGTCTGAGTAGTAAATTTTTTTTTTATTTAAAAAAAAAATTCAAACATATTTATCACAGGTTGACACATATAGGTGTACATATCTCACGGAGTCTTAGTGATAATATTCATTCAGAAAATATTATTAAAAAGACAATAGATTAATAACATATATTAAATCCAAATTTTGACGATTTTAACCGCGTTTATTATGGGAATTCTCTGGGAGACAATTGGCCTTCCCTCCATAAATTACGGCTGTGCGGTATGGGGAGGGGATAGCAAAAGTGATACAGATAAAATAGCAAGATTACAGCTACAAATGGCTCAGTATTTGAAAGCTTCACGCAACGCTCCTCGTGCTGCACTCTATGGTGATCTAGGTTGGACCACGATAGATGTAATTCAAAATGAATTTAGAGTTAAACATATGGCTCACCTTATGAATATGGATATCGTTGGCCAAAACTGTTATTGTATTCAATGAATAATCTAAACTGTGAATTCAATACATTACCTTGTAAATTCTTGGGTTGTATTGCAAAAGATATTTAATGGTGTCAATCGGAAGATATTATTTTTGTATTATGTTTATAAAGGCCAAGTACCGGCGGACCCACATTGGGCTACATCAATTAAATATGATATTTATAATTTGTTTGAAAATTAATGGTTTGAAGAAGTCAGTAATAAATCATCACTCCGGGATTATGCCACGCTTAACAACACCGAAACTAGAAAGTTATCTTCTGAATAATACCGGGTTTTATGGTGTAGGCCTAGTCCACTGAAGTTTAAACTACGATATATTGCCCCTTGATCATAGAATATGCACTTGAACACCTAATAACACTGGTATATGCACACTATGTAATAAGAACCTCGAAGAAGATGTTAAATATTTTCTATT